AACCTATTTTCATTTCATTGCAAAATAAGTCTATAACGCATAGGTGGCTGTGAAAAATAAAAGCCATGACAATTGTTTTTATTACTCACAGCTGTCAGAATACGTTTAAAATAGTTTTGGGTAGTTAAGGTTTTCAAAATGGGTAGAGGAAATGTTATTAGTGAGAAAATTCGGTTACTGATAATTAAATTTTTTAATTCTGGGAAATCAAACTCAGAAATTGCAACTTTGTTAGACTAAATTTTAAAAAAAATTTTAAAACCCGTAAAAAGCTTTGCGAAACTCTTGTATTGTCAATTATATCTTATTCTCTTGTCCTCTATTATCCATGTCTAGATTATAATAACAAATGTAAGCTTCAGAAAATTCAAAACAGCTGCTGTAGGTTTATATTTGGTCTCCGTAGGTTCAGTCACGTTTCGGATAAAATCAGAGAACTCAACTGGCTGAAAATTGATAAACTATTTTTATATCTATTGAACGTCTTAACTCATAAAGTTCTGCTAACAAACAGACCGGCCTATCTTTTTAGCAAATTGATACCTCGTGGTAACTTCGTACCAAGGACTCTTAGATTTAATATTAATTTTAATATGCCGCTCCACAACACTTTTATCTTTGAAAGGAGTTATACCTATAATGCTGTTAAACATTACAATGCTCTTAACCATTCGCATCGATCCAAGCCAGTTTCTTCTTTTAAGAAATTAATGAAAAATCAGTTGCTGGAGACAAGTTAGTTCTCTGTGTTTATATATGTATATGATTGTCTTTTCCTGATTGTTTTGTGTATCTGTCGTTCATTTAATGAAACTATGTTTTTCTTAATTACTTTTTTTTTTGTAACATGTGTATGTATTTTTCTTTCTTTTTTCTCTGCTTTGGGGTTAAGTGGAGGAGTAGCCGTCTGGCTAAACTTCGCCTCACTGCAGATAATAAAGGCATTATTATTATTATTATTATTATTATTATTATTATTATTATCGCGGTACAGTGTGAGAAATATTGTTAGAAGATATAACGTAACTGGTTCAGTTAATATTAAGCCACGATATGTGAAAAAAAGTAATATCACAAATGCCGACCGAAGAGCATTAAGAAGAATAATCGTGAAAAACAGGCGTGCCAATTATTTACAATTAAGTGCTCTGTGGAGTGACGCTGTTGGAAGGAGAATTTCGAGGTCCACAACTCATAGAGAGGCCCACGACTAGAGTGTATCTAAAATGTTTTTGAGAAAATAAATTGTTTTAGATGTAAATAGTTTTGTCATGTTTAGTTTATAAAGGCATATTTTGGTACAAATCTTGAAGTGGGCCAACTGAAGTGGGAAGGGGCTCGTATATAACATCGTTGAAATTCAGGAAACCGATTTTCAATTTTTGAAATTTAATATGTAGGAGTTGGGGATCAATGAGGTTGACGTCATTTTTCAAAACAGTGCACGTAAGCCTGCTAGTTCGTCATCTAGCAAAATCAGTACATATCTAGAACCAGGTGACTCAACTTTACATTGTCTGGTAGCATGCATCTCATGTTTTCGTGTGCATTTTTAGAACGAGAGCAAAACCCTTACGTCATAAAAGTGAACGCTAAGTTTCAAAGAGAAGGTGCTTCTATGCGCAGCGGTGATCATGAAAAAAGTTTACAGATTACGAATAGTTGAGTCACTGGCGGAAGAACATTTCTTGTCTGCACTGCATCGGTGCCATCAAATCTCTTAATAATCACATTTTTTTCAATGACGGATAGTTTCGGCGAAGTACTTGCTCCAACCGGACTTCTATTGCTGCTACGAAAGCTCGTGATGGTCATAGGTATCCGACAGTCGAGCCCTATTCTTCTATGGGGTATTACAGGAATTTTAATTAATGTAGGATTGAGGGAAACACCAGAAATGATTCCTTTTCTTAAAAAAATAGACCAGAATTCGTAGTTATAATTACAAAGAATTGAAAAAATCAAAAAGATGCAAAGTATAGACTGCCCCCTAGGCAAATGATTAGAAACTGCATTTCATACAAAAATATTATGTACATTGAAATAAATATATACATTATAATTCGCAGTTTCTCACAAGCAAATTGAGATTTTCCGACCACGACCCATGATTTGCTTTTCTTTTCATATCTACATATAATCTGCGCCGAAATACCAATCAACAACCTTTGAGTAATCAGTTCCTTACTTTAACAGTTTTTACATAGATCTACCTAGACTTAATAATGATTCTACTTTTATAATGACAACAAATGATTTCTGGAACGTTGCTTTCAACAATTTTGACAATGTACTGACGGGAATTTTGTCAAAAATGGTGGAAGAAATAAAACGCTTAGATTTGGTTGGAGACTTCAATGCTAGATCAACAACGAAACTTTGATTGGTCGCGTTTTACTAATCTTAAGCAGTTCAAAAATCGGATTAACAAAGTTTGTTTAAGCTCCTCATGGCAGTCGCGGTTACTGGAAGAGAATGCGAGGTTGCCTTTTGCAGTAGGTAAAAAGTAACCGTATGGTTGTTACTGATCGAGGGGCTATCAGTAGGTGGCATTTTCTGTATTAAATATTTCTCAGGATCATCATCAACTTGGGGGATTTAGGAAGTTTCCTATAGTCGAACACACTGCTAGTTTTACTTGCATATACTGCCACGCAAAGACAAACAAAATTATGTTCAAACGAAATTTGAAATAACGTTCACTGTAATTTTTCAAGTTAAATTATTTATGGTTATAATTCGCATAGTTTTCTTACCAATGTTGTCGCTGTAATTTTCTAGATTAAATTTTTTATGGCTATGATTCGCATGATTTTCTTCAAAACAGCATATATTCTTCAATAATTGAGATATTGACATGAATCAAAAAAGAACTGTTGACAAAAGTTGAGGCTTAAAAACACATTATTCAGTATTTAAAATTTAATTGGAACAAAATTTACTTAAAATTTAATTTGAACAAAATTTTGTTAGTCCAATTAATCCTGCGTGGTAGTGTAGTTTAACTAGCATATTTCACAACTATGAAAAAATCATTCCGAAAACTTAAAATTTGAAGCAATAATGATAGTTTCTCTGTTGGGTGCTGTAGCCGACCGCCCTCGCTCGTCGAGGTTCGGTAGTGACGTCACAAGACATAAGTTCGGGTTTTGTGTCACGGCACTGACGATGCAGGGCGACGTGACGTCTCTTGTATATTGCACACATCCTTAGGGCTCAAAGTGACCAATCGCAATGTATTTTTTGTATCTTTTAATAGGCTGCTGTTCGATATTGTAGATACGCAATGAATAAAATGGAAGAGGGTTTTCTGCGTAAACGTTTGTGTGAAACATTTAATCTTTGGCACGCATTAACATTTTTAATTGCCACAGTGAGTCATAAGTCCTACAGTATGGCCAAAATTAGAAAGATTCACCAAATTTTACAAGAAATCAATAGCTACGTGTTCTAAGTCGACATTTTTACCGTACATTGGTAATACGGAGCAGAACAGCGCTTGTAAATGGCGCGAAGCGTGCGTTGGTGTCATCATTTCGAGTGTTTTTAAGAAAATATTATAATTGTCTGATAGCAACGACAACTTCTCGGATGATCCGACACACTTCCTGCGGCACTCTTCACAGTTTCCACTGCATTCTTTCGCTAAGCAAATAATAGGAAGAAAGATGTTTCACCGCTGCGTAACCTTCTAATATTTTTCCCGTATACATTGATAAAAAGGCAATGCAAGTGCACCGATCGCTGGTCGGATCTGGATCTGCCGTTATAATTGCAGACTCGAAAAACAATGGCGAGAATGATCAAAGGTTGCAGATCGTGACCAATCACTATAACGTGCCTGCCGTACGAGGTTTGTTCCACTACAGTGGAAATCAAAACGCGCGGCTATACTGTTCTAGTTACTCATTATGCGTTAAATCGGATTTTCTTGATGTGTGGTACTATTCGACATATCCTGGTTGGTAGAATGGCAAAATACTTTTATTTGTCACTTGCTTTGAATGACATTGATCTTATCCGAGCTGATATTGATCCGTTATTCAAAATTTCCAATACTGGTAAACCCAAAAAACCCAAAAAACATTTCGTCAGGTAGCGACCCATAGGACCCCTGCTCTTGGTTAATATCGTGTACGTTAATAGGTATGTCGTCTGGTTGCCCAGATACCAGACAAAGTCAGGTAGATCTAGAACTTTTTTGAAATATGGATTCTTATTGATAGTCATACAATCATAAAAGGTAAGCACTAGATTCCAAGCCTCCCGAGAAAACAAATTAGTGGATTTAAATTTGGCGTTTTATAGTCGGGGACCAGAATGGAAGGCAGCAGCGTACTGCATCGTACGGTGAGGCCTGTAGGAAGGCATAACGCCGTAGCAATGGCGCACGATACATTGGGGATAATCCCCCATGCTTGTGTGGCCAATAAAACCACATGTATTGATAGAATCTTCCTAACTATTATAAATGTTTCAATCACAAAGGTGATCTTCTTCAGTACAATAAGTTTCAGAAGATAAATTGCCTCTTCCATATTGGTACCCACGTATAAACGAATTTTTTATTCACCATTGTCTGCCAGAGCGATTCTTCGTAGAACCTTTGCTCTTGGTTATTTCTTGTAGGTAGGTCTGATTGCCCAGATACTAGACAAAGTCAGGTACATCTTGATGGAGTTTAGTTTCAGTATAGCGCAGGGTTTGCCAACCTTTTTTTTTGTTTAGGTTCCCCGGACTATAAATTAGATTTTCTTGCCCCCCTTTACTTTTTCAATGAACACAAAAAACGCACATTTTATAGGTACAAATATTTTTATTTTAATTCTAATAAAGGAACTTTAAAAGTTTAAATAAACTAAGAAATGTTTTTTATCGAAAAAGTTGATTAAAATAAGAGTAGGTACTAATGAGGCACTTGAGATTGAATGTTCTGTACCAGTCGGTGGATTTTACGTACTGTTTTTTCTAGAACTATCATCTGAGCGATATCGACATCAAGACGATTTCGCTGTTGAGTTTTAATCAAAACTAGAGCAGAAAAGCCTGTCTCACACAAATAAGTTGAAGAAAAAGGAGCTAGTATTCGTAAAGCAAAAGAGGCAAGTGTCGAATTAACAGGCAATCTTTTGATCCAAAATTTCTCCAATGTTTAAAGATGGAAGTCATCTTTCACGGACGAATCAGCCTTCATTTCTAAAAATTCTTCCTGAACTTCTTCTGGTAATTGTGACACATCGACAAGGGATTGCTTATCATGTACCATATTGATAACTCTGAATTAATGTCTCGATAGTATCGGCGCTTGCAAATCAGTTTTTATGTCAGCTTTTAAATCTGCATCCAGTTTGTTATTTTTAATTGCTTTGAGATGCACCTGTGTGATAACTTCCCGATTTATCTAGTCTCATCCACTTGAGCGATTCTGCTTTAGAAGAAAAATACTCTCTCGTCTTCAAATGCTTCAAATGCCTTTCAAGGCGATTGGGCCTCATTCTATCATTACTTAAAACTTTCATACATATCACACACTGAGGCAATTGTATCTCGTCTTTTTTTATGAAGGTGAATCCAAACTTAACGTAATCTGCGGAAAACTTTCTTTTTTTCGCTGCCATGTAGCACCTATAACAATAAAACAAATAAGCAATAAATAAATAAACAAAATACCTACAAGTAATTATATGCCCATTATTTTATCTTAATAACGTAACGTATTCAACAGTATATTGGCCACCGGGAGATTTATATTTTTGTTGGCGTTATAATAGTAACTTTAAGTACATTTGGAATCAATATTAGGTACTTAAAGTTCGTCGTTTCAAAATTATTTCGCCACGTTGGTTTGATTGTGATGTGGTAAAAAAGTCCCAATGGCCGATCTATGAACACGTCTCCACTCAATCAACAATTTAGTAAATTAAATAAAAATGGTAACTGAAGTTTGTAAATTCACAAACTTACCTTTCAACAGTGAGACACAAACATGTACATCGAAACGCCACATTTTTCGCAAGTTTGTGGTAATGGAATGTCACATATGCTCATGCGTCTGATAGGTACACAATTGTTTTCTAAGTGATGAATGTTAAGGGGAGCGTGGCGGGGGTGCGCGCGGATTTCATGTTGTGACTTGTTAAAATTTGTAAAAGCAAGTGCCTCTACCCTCACAATAGTATTAATCTATACTACGAAATTTCATCAAAATCTGATTTGAAAAAATGAATCTATCTAAATCACCTGTACTACACCTGAGCATCAGGCAATATCCGCGTTGTATTAGCATTGAATGAACTGTGTTTCGGCCATCAGGATGACGAATCTGATAATGATGACAGCGGCTTGGACGGCAGGCGTATGCCGAGACGAATCGCTCTCACGAATTTTACATCTTTTTTATGTCCAGGCGTGGTTTGCTATCAGAGATCGCCGGCACCGACTAAAGCTGAAAGAAAGTTTTTGACACCGAAAGTGAAAACGACCGCCCGGTAGGCTGGATATGTGAAGCTGCCGCCGTATATGTACTTATGAATATACAGGGTGTTGAATAAACAAATACGAGAGTGAGAGAAAATCCGGTTGTCAATTGGTGTCTATGCATAGGCTATACAGGGTGTCCCGAAAAAAGTGTGCAATATTCTACCAGCTTAAATTAGGAAGAACAGTTTATATAAACATAGGTCGACAAACGTTCCCCAAGGGCGCTATGGTCTTTTAAAGGGGCTCCCCTGAATATGGTTTTTCCTTAATATTTCCGAAACGTGTTGAGATAAAGACATAAAATTTGGCATTCTAGCCTAGTTTCTTATGCTGGATTTAAAAATATTAACAATTTTAGACAGTTTTGTTTGAAAGCGTATGTAACAGGGACGGACTCAGGTTATTTGAGCCCCAAAATTTTTTTGTGATTCTATTTTTGAAATTCAAATTTAGAATTTGAAAATTTAGGGTTTTCTACATAAAAAAGGTACTCTTATTGAATATCGATAAATTGTGCCAATTTTGAATAAAATCAAACTAAAAAATTTGTCACATGATAGAAAATGTAATGCGATTCAAATGATTTGTTGAATGATTAGCCATGGCAACGAAAAAAATAATTTAATAATTGGTAAATATTACATAAATACATTTTTCTATCGCAACAAAGCTAACATTTAGGCAAAAAAAAAGAAATAAATTTTTTCTACGAACGAAATTGAAATTTGCTTAAAAAAGGAGACATACAGTTGGATATACTTAAAACTAGCTTTACAATAAGGGTTCAAATAAATTTCCATTTTGTTGGATACAGAGTCTCGCTCGACGAACTAATGATTGCGTAGCCCGAAAAGTGGAAAACCTTTTTCTTCTTATTTCATTTGCAGCCTGATGGATTCTTTGAAGTAAATCTTCTTGAGTATTTACTTCAGTCGAGTAATCTAGGTCTTTTAATGACCCCCAAAAATAGAAATCTAATGGATTTAGGTCAGGAGAAAATGGCGGCCACGCTATAGGACCTCCTCGGCCTAACTACCAGTCTGGAAAATTGACATTCAACCAATTTCTAGCATTGCGTCCAAAATGTGCAGGGGCGCCATCATGTTAAAAAAGAATATTTTCTTGCAACTGCTGACTCCCATCCCATGGTATTATATCCATGAGCTCATTCTGAAGAAAGTTCAGATACACCTCTGAATTAAGACGATTCGGAAGTACAATAGGCTCAATTACTTGATCCCCAATTACTCCTGCCCATAAGTTCAATGAAAATCTATGTTGGAAATTTGTAAGGCGAACAACTTTTAGATTTTCATCTGACCAGTGATGCATGTTATGGAAATTAAAAGCACCATTCCTAGTAAATATTGACTCATCCGACCAAAATATTCTAGGAATAGTGTTTTCATTTGCCAATATCCACTGGCAAAACTCGATTCGTGGTAAAAAATCTGCCTCCGTTAAATGCTGCACCCGTTTAAAATGATAAGGATGTAATCCTTGCATTCTTGTCATTCTTCCTAACTACAATTATTATTTTTAGGATAACTGTCAAATAGGTATTTTTTTACTATTGATCGAGGTATATCCATATTTTCTGAAACATTTCCTATGCTTATTTGCGGATTATTTTCAAACATATTTAAAGCAACATCCATACGATGATTTCCCAGTGGCCTTCTTGAGCCCTGCATGCGCTGAAAACTTCCATGGATTGACAAATTCCGGTGAATATCAGTAAACATTCGACGTCCAGGTACTATGCGATTGGGAAATCTTCTTTGATATTCTCTTACGGCTGCCAATGAACTGCAAAACCCGTACACAAAATGCATGTCAGTCAGTTCTCTGTCTGTAAATCTTGGCATTTTAAATCGATTTAATAAAAATTTTGATTTTAATCTAGTAATTTTACACTGCTAACAATGTCAGCTTAACGTCAAAATCAGTCATAACAAATCAAAACAACTTTTGTTTGCAGTCATGGCTAACTATGTATAATCAACAATTCATTTAAATTCGCAGTACATTTCCTATCATGTGACAAATTATTTAGTTTGATTTTATTCAAAAATGGCACAATTTATCGATATTCAATAAGAGTACTTTTTTATGTAGAAAACCCTAAATTTTCAAATTCTAAAATTGAATTTCAAAAATGAATCACACAAAAATTTTGGGGCTAAAATAACCTGAGTCCGTCCCTGTTACATACTCTTCCAAACAAAACTGTCTAAAATTGTTAATATTTTTAAATCCAGCATAAAAAACTAGGCTAGAATACCAAATTTTATGTCTTTATCTCAACACGTTTCGAAAATATTAAGGAAAAACCATCTTCAGGGGAGCCTATTTAAAAGACCGTAGCGCCCTTAGGGGACGTTTGCTCTAGAAACCGCTGGTAGAATATTGCACACTTTTTTCGGGACACAATGTATATCGGGTCCTTTCTGCTAAGATCCAAGACCGGCCTTTCTGGCAGTTAAATATCGCTCCGGGTCTGGCTCCTCTTAGCCTCTTGAGAATCCAATCTATGCAACCTCAGTATATTCTGTACAATGAGTAGCCTCACAGTGACAAAGAACGTACACTGAGGACCTTGTTACAACAAATGGAGCCTGAACGTGTTTTACCCATATAATAGTCACACCAAGAGCCCGATTCTAACGGGATATCGAAAATAATTTGATCGGTCGAAATTCAGTTAGAATCAGGCACCTGATACTAACTGAATTCTATATCTATGTGCACATATCTGTGATGGAGAGACCACATCGAAATTAATTTCAACGGTCGAATCAGGCCCTTATGTGTATGTCGAAATTATTATAGCAGTTTACATGTACAACGAAAAGGTGACAAATAAATTAATTTCAAAGATCGTAATTCAATTAACATAGAATCAGATCCCTATGTGTATGTCGTAATTACTATAGCAGTTCATATGTAGGACAGGAAGACCGCACATAAATTAATTTTAATGTTCGAAATTCGTTTATGATCAGTCCCCAGCAACATTAGGTTGCTTTTTTCAAAATAGGGCAAGAAACTCTTTTTTAGATAACAGGCTCCATTTCCTAGTACTACTAGAATATTTCTGACTGCACTGTCGTTGCTGGTAATCTGGTCCAATTGTGAGTTTTCAAAAATTGTTAAAGTATGACTGGTGTCTAAATAAATGAAGATTCAAAACTGTTTTTTTTAATTCCAATGTGCCAACCACTCCTTTAGCTATGCACTAAGATGATCATCAAATTGAATAAATTGTTATTATAAACGAACCTAGTATATTAACAATTTCTCCTATTCCATAGAAGAACTATCTGTACTTCATAATGATTGATATCATTCAAGTCTCATTCAGCATTTACACGTTGGTCTGGCATCGAGTTTGACACCATGCGAGCGGTATACAGTGCCTGTAATAAAGGAACCTGATATCCATTACTCTTTCTTCTTATATAAAGGAGGAGAGATTCGAGCAAAATTGGGGTCAACTCGATAAATCAACTTGAAATTAATTTTTTCACTTTATGCATTAACGATACACGGTTCAGGTAGACGCGAGATAAAAGAACATGATTTTTAAAGTTTGGGGATAATGGATGTTTTGTCAACGCGGTAGGGTGCGACATTTTGAATGATATTTGTTACTTCGAGTGAATGGTATCTTGTTGTTATTTTCCTATTCAGGGTGAGACTCATTTACAAAGCGTATAAGTCATGCAACAATAAAAAAAAATTTATAGTAATACATACACCAAATCCAAAATGTCAAGCTCTGAAAATATCTGAATGGGCCAGCCCGATCTTGATCCTACGTGAAAAGGTACGACGTGCTTTGAAATAACTGAAA